TACAACACAGCCAAATTAGGTATTACTAAGTTAAATGTATTGAATATTTTTTTATTGTATTTTTCCCTTTTGTAAATGTTTGAACCTTTTTGTAAATATTATGTATTCTATAGCTAGCTGTAGTTAGCTGTAGGATTACGAAATAAATAAATACACTTAAACAGTATATGATACGTGATAATCTTTTGGTAGTTTTTCATTAATTCTTAGGACGAAGGCTTTTATTCCATTCCTTTCCTTTTAGGTCTTATACGTATTTTGATTGATTAGATGTAACACAAAGCCTACTTTTTCTATTAAAAAAAATTCCTTTGAACATGCACCATGTACCACGGAGTAATTGTGATGTAGTGTAGTACCCACCACACAGAGGCTCCCTAGTTTTTTTTTATGTAATAAGAGGCAAACGGGCAGGAGGCTCATCTGATATTAAGCGATACCGCCGCCCATGGACACTCACAATCGCAAGTGCGTTGCCGGGCTTTTAAGAATTGGTACGCTCTCTCTTAAAGGACCTTAAGTCGAATTGGTCCGAAAATATTTTAGTGGCGGTGCGCGGCAAAAACTGTTTTAAGAATCGCTCAGTTTTGGAACGACGGACGTCGAGGTCATACGGATGGTATTGGGACCCTAGTATAGGGACTAGCGTTAGTTCAATACTGTGACAACTATATTTGTCATTAATTACATTATTTATTTAATAGATTTTTTAACATATTCAGTTAGTTAATGTAATTGTTTGAGAAATGACGTATCTTTGAACCAATTATTAGCATTTTTAACTTACTTAAACAAATAGTGTGTCATGTTAAAGTGATACTTAAAAATCTATTTAATAGTGATGTTCAATTGTTTAAAACAAAAGTCACTTTTACAAAGTGAACAAATTGTAATTACCGCAACAGAGTGCGTACAAAAATATGTTAATTACTTAGGGACCGTTAATGTTTTCCTCTGATGCAAGAATATATTTTAGACGTACATTTTTATTTTGACACAAGTATTACGCACATAGATATAAAAATCCGAGCTTTTAAATGCAGATCAGGGTTATATTTACTATATCCAAATTATTTAATTATATCCAAGCACTACACATGTAGAAAAGGTTTCATCGTTATAGTTTTTTATTAGGGTGCACCAACTAGAGGCCGTTTAAGTATTACGTAGGCAGATTTATGCTTCCCCCCCAGCAAAATTAAAGTAAGCAAAGCTCAAATGCAATTCGTTTTCAAGCATAGACAAGGTGTGGGTAATATGTGTAAAAAAGTAAATAATTATTGTTGACGTAATCACCAAATAAGAAATTCCCCTGGCCCCTCTAATGATTACGTAATTCTTGAACTGAGGAAAATGTCATGAAATGTTCCAAGGTGAGTCTTCTTGCACTTTTTCTATACGATTAGGTTCTATCCAAAAAATAATATTTTACTTTTATATTGGAACGTATTTAGAATAACCCGCATACGTAGCTATCTACGTATAGACACCTAGATTATATTCGTATGAAATACATATTTTCAATATTATTCGCAATACACACACACACATATAAAAATATCTCCAGTAAGTTTAAATCATTTTGAACCAAAAATGCGTCAGTAAGTTTAAATTTACCTAGCATTAAGTATGGCCACAAAGATTTCCTATTTAAATTGCTAGTTCCCTTTAAACCATACCATCTTACTATCTTCATCAAAAGAAAAGTAGAAAATTTCAAAGTATGAATGCAGTAGTAATGAGGTCCAGAACTTTGCGAGCTTTCAGTTGATTGCAGTGAAAGTTTCCACAAACATAATGAAGTTTAGCTGGACTTTAACAGGAATGTAAAATCGAAACGGCTTTAAAGTTATCTTCATTTAAATACGCATTTAACTTTAAAGTGTAACATGGAAAGATCATAATTTTGTACTGTATATTATTAAGTTGTAATTAATACAGATTTTGATATTTCTATAAAATAAAATAAATAAATCAGTTGCGCTACAACCTCTTTAGGTCTTGGTCTCAGATTTCTGAATCTGTTTCATGATCATTTTTAAATCTAATAGGCCTGTAGGTGATCAGCCTCCAGTGCCTGAAACACGGCGTCGACTTTTTGGATCTAAGACATGTCGGTTTCCGCACGATATTTTCTTTCCCCGTTCGAATAATGTTATATGCGCGTACATAGAAACAATGTACATTGGTGCACAGCCGGGGATAGAACCTACGACCTCAGGTATGAGATTCGTACGCTGAATCCACTAGGCCAACACTGCTACTTTCTATAAAATAATGCCTTAATATTGTGCATTAATATTTTTGTTTGGTAAACTATAGAACTATAGAAAATAGTTCAATTGAAACTCAAAAAATGCTTTAATATTTCCTTGTACAATCAACTATATTTAAATCCAACATACGTACATTCCTACTTTTCATAACGATAAATTGAATTCAAATAGCTTAAAGGAAGAATGCTAGTCATATCGTTCAATAAAAGCGAAAGCTTTCAAATTTTAGATCATTGCGTTGTAATTTGATTCTCAATAGTATAAGATCCCGCTATACAACGACCTTCACCGAGATCTTATTTAATGAAACTTATTTTATATTTAATTTAATATGTCAATAAATATAATCATATGGTTGCCTACAAATTTCATCCAGAGTATGTTTAATTAATATTAAAAAAAATTTTTTTATAATTTGCATGTAGTACATTTTTTGAACTTTTTCAATCAATATTTTTAATCAGGGTAGTATTATATATGTATCACTATAACCTTCTTTTATATAAAGATTATATATACTTTAGTGTCACATAAAAAATATACACATAAATAATTAATTATTAAAAACAACCTATTCAACCATTGATATTGCTTAGTTGTTGTATAGAATTTATTAATAATCATATAAATTTAAAAAATATTTTTTTAAATTAATTAAAATACTTGATAAAATTTGTAGGCCCATATGGATAATTATATAAAAAATTGGGTGAATTAAGTCCATGTGGACGGTTTATTTTTTATTTATTCACACTTCGTTACATTCATTGAAAACAAATAACAATACATAAAAATTATAGAGGATGCAACGGGCGGGCTTATCGCTAACAAGCGATCTCTTATAGACAACCCTAGTAATATAATGAATTAAGTGAAAGAAGTGCATAACCAAATCTTAAAAAAAGATAATTAATAAAACAAACTAAAAAATCTCATGGATTCATGAATAGCGATGCAATACAGAAGAACAAGAAATCCAAGAATTATAAAAATCTAGATTGAGCAGGATAGGATATGGTTAAGAAATGTTTATGCAGAAGAGTTTAAAAAGATGTTAGGCAGTTAGTCCGCAGCCTATTCTACAACTTAATGGCGGAGATCCTAAACGAATTGCCTAAGTAGGATAAGCAGAATTACCAATAAGCATCTATTGGAGGAGCGTAACATATAGTTATAAGGACCTGAGAATTATAATTTTTAAGATAAGAGGGAGTTTTGGGATTGAAAAGAAAGAAAAAATGGTATACGTATGGTATTAGATTGTTAAACACTATATATATTTTAATATGCCAATTAGATTGGCGTTTGCCTGAACTAGGTACTTCATAGTACGATACAAACTGTGCTTTTAACAAACTCATACTTTTCATATTCGTGAACGGGTGCTACTCGTGACTGGTCGAACTTAAAGTCGTGTATGCGTTAGTTATGATGTTAGTTATTTCGACTATGTATGTTCCCACGAGAATGTAAGTGCGTGCTCCTATTTTACCATGCCTACTGCTGATAGAGGACAAATCTTGTTTTTTTAAACTATTAATTACTTAAGATGTCATGTGGAACATGGTAAAATGGTTGCAGCTCCGTACAAACATTGTGTAAAATAAAAAACATGGCGATTAAAAAGAGTGTCTGAGAGTTTATTGCCAGTTCTTTTTGTCCGTTTATTCGAAAATCGAAATTAAGGTCGTACTTAATTTGAAAACTGGCAGTCAATGTAAAATTAGAAGCATTTAGCATTTAATATTATTTCTTTATTGATGTTCATAAGTGGACATTCTGTTACCTAAATCAATAAATGACTTTAATGACAACGAAAGCTTCAATATTTAAAGAAGAGTTCGTGCACTAATGTAACAGAATGAGAAAAATATTGCCTACAAATGTGGGAAAATATACTGTTTCCCTTCAGTATCTGGGTCAAAAATTACTAGCTATTCCTCGGCATCCTGCCCTATATATTCTAATGAGCGTCATTAAACTCAGGCATCATATGAGGACTAAAACTTGCTCGTTGCGATAAAAAAGCTGGGTTTAATATTTATTTGAACAACTCAAATATCATTCATCTACTATACAACGTAGAAAATGTGTTATGGCATTTTTTATAATGCAAGGTGTGATATGCATATTATCGTAACAGTACAAGGAAAATGTAACTAAAAACCCTTTACAAAAAAATTGAGATAAAATTAGTCAATCGACATCTTTGCAAATTCTTTCATACTAGACGCCAATGTATTGGCATTGTTACTTGGTAAAAAAATACCATAACGTGGTAACATTGTATACAGAAGTTTTGAAATTTTCAGAATTTGTTAGTTTTTTTGTAATTTTGCTGATAGTATGGTTTTAGAAAACTTAAAATAAAAAGAAGGATCTGTCTCGGGACCAGTAATTTTTTAACTTAAAATGTAGGTTACGAACACAAAAATTTAACTACAAAAGAAAGTTTTTTTTTTAAATCCGGTACCAAGTAGCCAAAAACAGCCATTGTATATTGTTCTTATTAAGGGCATTTTTACACTCCCGATAGATTAAGATTAAGATTAATCAGCATATAAAAAGAGATATGAAATCATTATATTTCATATCTAATATTAAAAGTATTAATAAATCCCTATAAGTTTTTTACTTCGCATAATAATATACGAAAAAAACAATTGACAAATGAACTGAAAGGAGAGTGAATGATAAGTCGGGAACATTGCGAAGAGGTTTCATTCAGCAGAAAGGACCTGCCGTCAACTTAGCCATAGAGCCTTGATGAACAATGCTGTAATAGGCTGCCATTGCACAGACCAAGTTACGGGATATGGCGATTTTTAACGTGTAAAAACTGAGTAGAGAATGTGTTTATATAACGTGGACTAAAATATTAGTTACCATGGTTACAGCAAATTCTTACATAGAAAAATTATAACAAATACAAAACGATGTCTTTGCATTTGTATTGTATATATTAGAACTCCATAATTTCTCACCACGATATCAAATACAGTACCACACATTTTATAATAATAATATATTTATTAATGTTTGGCTAACTACTTGAATGGGATGCAAGGCTGTTTGAATGCAGGCAAACTGGAATCTAAGTCGAAGTTAAATTAAGTAATTAACAAATAAAATGATTACACAAATTAACTTTTATATAGAAAATAACAATAAGCAAACAAAATTAGCTACGATACAAGCTTTGTAAAAGTAGAATAAATAATTGTTACCGCTTCCAACAAAGCTTTATTTAATTGGTACATTAAATAGACTCACTGCACAGCTGCATCGCAAAAACCGCACTAATGGTTGATAAAATCAATAAAAGGAACGATTTATCCGCGCCAGGGATCCGAAGATATTTCTTCGTTCTATATTCAATGAACGGTTAGGAATTATAATTTGTTCAGGAAACATGGTAACTTTTTTCTTATACTTTTACAAAATTTTAGACATAGACATAACATTTACTACTAACTGTAATACACAAAATAATAATAATCAAAAAAGAAAGAAAAATAACAAAAAAAATGTTTTAAAGGGACAATGTACATTTTAAGCATGTGTGTGTTGTTGTAGTTAGCTGCTGGTTCAGCATTATGCTGTGGAGCAGACGTGTTCCACAGCGCTGGTAATTCTGCCAGAGACCACAATAGTTAGTTACTATAGTATTTCAAATAAAATAAGAGTGGACGCCCACCAGAATCCTGGAAGATAGAATAAAAGTATAACGGGAATTATAAAATGTGGCGAGGAGGAAAAATTGAAAAGCATCACGCCGTCGTGTACTCATGATAATCATGGACTTAATGTAATCCTGATTATGTAGTACCTACTCGAAAAAGACTATTTTTATTTTATTCTGATTTTCTTACTTAAATTTATTAAGTAATTCTAGAGTTACTAGAACTAAGATACGTACCTACGCCTCCCCTCTAATCTGCTACTTAATGCTCCAGTAAATAGGGTTCATCCGCTTTTCTTAATTACTAACATTAAAACCTTGATATATTTTACTATCTACCATCGTTTTTGTGTTAATAATTTGTTAGTTTTTACTGTTTGCTTGTGTGTTTATTCCTTGATTGAAATTTGTGACGACATATTTTGTTGTAACTTTTATAAGCATACATGTTGTTTTATAATCAATTTTAAATACATTTTTTGAACACTTTCCAGAGTATATTAAGATAAAAGTAAAAACAAGTGTAGGTAGTGTAACACTACTGACTCCGAATTGGATTAAATAAAAGTTCACCCTGACCGCTTTGTGTCAACAAGTCATACATTTAATTGAAATAAAATCTTCCATTAAGATAATGTCAAACTTGAACCACAGTCAAAACAGTACGTCTGAGGCTTTGAAACGACGAAGGCACCCTTTGTTTGAACGGAAGTGTTTTTATATACTGTATATATGTACCAGTTTTTGGGACATACAAGGGTGCTCAGTTACGAAAATAGTAGACACTTGTCGTTTTGTACGGTTATGATGGTTTTGGTAAAACATATTTTGAATATTCAAAACTACAATTAAATTTAGCATTTTAGGTTTATCAAACCAAAGAGAACAAAAAGACGAAAATCGAAGTCGGCCACACGTTCCGGAGTGATCCAAGCAAGCTCTCGACTAGGAAAAGGAAATGTGGCATTACGCAGAGGCTAAAGCTGGATTGACTTGAAGTCAAACGAGCTGCCCAAGACCGACCAGGTCGGTGTTCTTTTCCCATGGGGGATTTAGGACTTTAGGTCAAAGAAGTTAAATAAAAAACTGGCCAATTTCTATCCTTAGATTATGAACTTGATGAAAAGTAACTTCATCACCCGACGACGTATTTTATGGTTTTCCAGCAGTTAACTAGTAATATAGTTAAATAGTATATTAAATAATATATATAAAAAAATAATTACTTAATAGATGAAGTATTCACTAACCTGTCATCTTGCAAGTTTTTCAGCTCGCTCAGTTCCAATTCTCGCCGCAAATTCGACACCTCACACAGCAGCATATCCCGCTCAGTCGATACTTTCTCGAGTTCGGCGCGTAACCGCACCACCTCGTTAGTCAAATCCATCGTCGCCATTATCGATAACCACTACCGTCACAACACATCACTATCACTGGTACGCCGAGCGCTCGAACCAATCAAACTCGCGCATTTTAAATTTAGAACGCTCTAAACTATTTCAAATAGTGTTGTATGAACTTTGTGCTACACAGTCGGCATCTGAAACAATAAATACTGGCATGAGGAATGTGGGAATCGCTTACTCGAGTATTCAGAATTTGTTCATAAACTATGTCATGAAGCAGACATAAATAAAAGTTATTGTTCACTTTTATTGGATGTTCTGCGAAAATATGCTGGCAATATTTTTGTAAGTTCATTGGAATGGTATTTTTTTATTAGGAACTAGATAACCCGGCGAGAGAAGTGTTGGCCTAGTGGCATCAGCGACTCTCATCCCTGAGGCAGGTTCGATCCCCGGCTGTGGACTTTCTTTCTGTGTGCGCATTTAACATTCGATAGTTAGGTGATGGAAAAAAAAGTCGACGGCATGTGTCAGGAGGCTGATCATCTATTTGCTTTTTAGATTGACAAATGATCATGAATAAGACACAGAAATCTAAATAAACCAACAAAGGTTGCAGCGCCAGTGATTTATTATTTATTTAATTTTTAAATGACCCGGTGTACTTCGTATCAACTACATATTTGTGTCACGCAACACAATTTCAAAACAGACCTATTGGTCTATTGGTTAGTATTCTACAGCTATGAAACAAAAATTTCTGAAGGCATTAAAAATTTGACAACCAAGTGACAGTAGACTAAAAAGACAAAAGTCATCAAATATTTTCCAGCTAGGATTTAGGACAGTTTTTATTGGAATTTGTCGTTTTTAGCATTTTTCTTTACTTATTATCTATGTTCCGGATAGTTAGCCAGGTCCGGCTATTCTTAAGTTTTAGCGAGACAAACGAAAAGCAATTTTATTCATATTTTATTTATATGTAAGAATCCTTGTAATTTAAAATGCATATATTATACGAACGGGAATAGAATGTAAATGAAGTGAAAAGCCTGTCAGGATTGTAGAAAGCTGTAGTCCTTTGGGAAAACGCGTGATTTTATGTAAGTTTCTGTGGAAATTGTTTGATGGTAGAATCTGAATTTGTAGGTGGGTTTTTGTAGAAGAAACTAATAGTTTACAGTACTTAAAGTAAAAATCACACGATTTATCACGTGGTAAACGATCTCTTCCAGACAACCTAGATTACTTTAAACTGCCTGTCCCTGGTATACAAGAACATTTATTTTGCCTATTAAGGTAATAAGATAATTCTGTGGAACGGAGGTCCAGAGATACTAGAAGGCTTAATACCTTTAATGAGTTTGTATAGCAGTAGTTCGGTACGCGCTTTTCTTGAAGGACCTTAAGTTGAATTTGTTCGTAAATACTTTAGTGGAAGATTCAATAGTGATGGTGTGGAGCAAAAAGCAATAAACCTGGCTAAATTAATACGAGTATGTTTCATACACTATAGAATATCACTATATATTAAGCATTTAAAAGTACAGAAGCTAAATGTATCATTCAGCGAAAAGTCTTGTACAAACAGCAATTAGCAGACAAACAAAAACAACACAGCTGAAACAGTTCAACTCTTTCCAAAGTTTATTTACTTTGGTTTTTCACTCCATTAACCAGGAAGCGGTAGAATCCAGTTCGACAGATTTTCCGCTGAAGCCTTCATGGTGGGTTACAATAGGCAAACAGGATCCAGTCGAGACTGACCCTGACATACCCCTTGAAAGTCATGACTCTTGGTTACTCTAATTTCAACCTATGTGATCAAGCTAATGTGTCTCGATATTGACCTAAAACGGGAGTAACACAATGATTTCATTAAGCCGGTTTTAGTCTTAAACCCCTCGGTCCACAGCGTGAACAACAACATAGTTAATATGAAAACCAAAATGAATTTAATATAATAATGGAGTCAAGCATAATGGCTTGCCAATGCAAATACCACTAAAGAAAAAGGTAGATATTTTTATAGGAAAGGGAGCAAACGAGACTACGTGATGCTTAAAAGAGCAGTCATTGCAGGCCATGGACACCTATTTTAGTGGGTGTGTTGCCTTTGAGGGAGGAGTATACTCTTTTAAACAATTGGAGGTCGTATCTCGCAGTGAAGACCCTTACCGTGAGTCGATTCCGTAGTTCACTCGTTCGCAAAAGAAAATGTCTAGCAACAATTCGGTTTTCACTGCATTGAAATTTAATCAGTCTACCTTTGACCATGCTTACTGGCTCAACGTAACACGATCTGTTCTCAGACCTCAAGAAAACGCTCGCTGGACAGAAACTTAGCGCTGATGAAGAGGTAATCGCCGAAACTGAAGCCTATTTTGAGGCTAAAGACAAATCAACAACAATAAAAAATTTATTGAAATTTTATGACCGCTATAATCGTTGTATCGCTCTCGAAGGCAACTTTATTTAATAATCAAATCAAATTCTATATAAAAAAGAACTTAAGAAGAGAAGAAAGAAGAAAAGAACGTCGGCTAAAAGTTACTAGACTTTTCAGCCCACCTAATATGAACGTTTCGTAATTTAACATTTAAAATAAAGTATTAAGAATAAATGTAACATTAAAACCAGTCAAATATATAGTAATAGCACAGTTATAAACAAAATAAAGGTAAATAATAGTTATAAGCAACATACGTCTTACAACAAAGAACCGACAACGCATCCGTAACACATCCCTATGGACAACACTCCACACTAAGCCGGATGTAATTACTTGTAAAAAGCTTTAATTAAATCCAAACTAAAATTAACTTAAGTCATTAATAAAATTAAATATATAAAAATTCTTAATAATCACGGTACTAATTTCCTTCGGGCGTTGTTAATGGAAACATAAATTGATTAAAGTCACGGCTTTATGAGCTAAATGGAGGTCTTAATCGCTTTGTGAGCCGATATTTTCATTAAGCGTCATAGTTTTCAAACCCGTGAATTCATTCACAAAGATTTAACGCCTCGTTTTAAACAGTACGATTTTTATGTATGTGGCTTTTTTAACCGCTGATAAAAATATGTAGTTAGGGTTAGTTTCGATTTTCCTGGAAAACAGAATTGTAATTAAACTTGATTAAAAACCACAGAAAATTATATTAATATGTAAATATATGCGACTACTTCAATACAAAGGGTCCCCTCGTGAGTTGTGTTGAGATATTGCGAGCTATTCGATTGTGAGGAATTTGCTGTTAAGCGCTGCGACTTCTTAAGTTCTCGGGGGCCGTTCAAGTATTACGTAAACACTATGTTTTTGAGGGTCTTTGTTTTTCTTATTTTACTTTTTACACATATTAACCACACAATGTCTATTGTCTATGCTTGAAAACGAAATTCATTTTCGAGGATTCCTATAAAAAATTAATACATTTATGTAGGTACTTATGTTTTTTAAAGCTTTGCTTATGGTGACAAGAGGAGGGGGGAAGGGATAAATTGCTTGAACGGCAACGTCATTTTCACACACATATATATACATATTTTAAAGACAATACACACCAATTGACCTAGTCCCATGCTAAGCTGGTGAAGCTTGTGTTATGGGTACTAGGCAACGGATATACATACATATTATAGATAAATAGACATATAAATACATATTTCAACACCCAAGACCTAAGCACAACACCAAATGCTCATCACATCGATGTTTGTCTCAGCCGGGGATCGAACCCGGGACCCATGGATTCGCAGTCAGGGGTACTAACCGCTAGACCAATGAGTCGTCATATATCCTTTCTATGACATATTTTCATAAGTATCTGATTGTCCTCCTTGTAACATGTGTTGTTGAGAGCAAATATAAAATAAATATAAATAAATGTTGTTTATGATTAAAGTTTAATTTAAATTATAAAATATTATTCATAACGTTCATTTTATTGGTTTCGCAGTAATTTAGACAAATGAATTTGAATTGGTAAATATGCTTTTTTTACAATAGCGCCATCTAGATACTAGCCAACAAACTACCGAGGTTAGATGCGCAGGCGCACGCTCGTAAATAAATGAAATTCACGCTAGATGTCACATCGTGTAACAAAATAGTGTGAGAAAGAGATATATTTAGCTATCTTTGTTGCTCAACACAATCGCTTACGAGTCGTAAGAAATAAAGTTACGACAGTGTTTTGACACTCAGCTGATTCATCATAATTGACGTTCCACTGGGTCAGCTGTTTTTGTTCCTTACCACTTGCAATATGGGTTATTCAATTTATTTCAAGTAAAATTCAAAGATATCGTATAACTAATACATTGAACTGTTATTAATAGAACAGATAAAAAAGGGATTTAAACTAAAGCCCATGGTCATTATTAACTTAATTGCGAGGACCCAAAAATCCCATTTAGTAGGTACTTATATAGTAGCTTTATTTTTATTTTTTATTACTCGTTTAAAGAAGATAAATGTGAGTAATAGCTTTAGTGTAAAACATAATCAGGATAAAGTATTTTAATTTTTTTTTATGAAATCTCGCTGTTGGCGTTAAGGGCTTTACAGCTCAGCGCGGGCTGTTTTGGGGGTTTCCCGCGACTAGCGCAAGGGCGTCTCCTGCGAGACTCGGACCTCGGCTTGGGCCGTGTTCGGTGCCGGCTCGAGGGGCGGTTAATAGCCTGTAGGGTAGGACGGAAGCTCACTGGAGTGAGCGAATGGCGAAGTAAAAATCGAACTGCGAAGTAAAGCGAAGCGCGAAGTAAAGCGAAGTACCGTGTTTAAATGAAACTTAGAAACCTACTTATGTATGTTTATATGTGTTGGTAGAGAAATAAATCATATAAGAAATAGCGCATGTCGCAATAATATATATAAACCAGAAATTCCACTTTGAAACAATTATACTGCGATTGAAGCCATAATTGTAAAGTCGTCAGCTATCCCATTAATCCGCTCCCGGGCGAAAGTAAACATTCTGAACAAACAGACAAACGAGTGTTCTACTATTTAATAGTTTCGCCGAATTGTGGGGAAGCTGTGATGTAA